GAATGCAGTCATGATATTAGAATTGACCCCAGGGTCTGCCCCACCCTTGCAGACTTAACCCCTGGGTCATAACTTTGAAATGGTTGAGATCCCCACCCCAAAACTATATATACAAATGCTGGGCAAAAAGAGACAAATGCAGTCACGATATTAGAATTGATCCTGGGGTCTGGCCACAACCCTAGGGACCTAGTTTCTGAGTCAAAGCTTGGAAACAGTTGAGATCCCCACCCCATAACCATACATAAAATTGCTGGGCATGAAGAATCTAATATATGTACAGATATGCTACAAGGATTGGCCTTGGGGTCTGGCATATTCCCTTGATCTCATTCGGAGAATATTTTGCCATGAATGCTTTGGTATCCAGGTGAGCGATACAGGCCCTCTGGGCCTCTTGTTTAGGTCACCTGAGACAAAGTCTCAAGTGACCTATTGCGATCGCCTTTTGTCCGTCGTCCGTCCGTAAACAATTTACATTTTCGACTTCTTCTCCAAAACCCCTGAACCAATTTCAATGAAATTTTGCAGAAACCTTCCATGGCCAAAGTTGCCGGTTTGGTCCCTGGCCCCAAGGGGCCTGAGGGACGGGGCCAAAAAGGGTCCAATTGACTAAAATTTCAAAAATCTTCTTCTAAAGACCCAGATATGGTAGAATCAAATACTCTTCATAGATGGAAGGGTCTTAAGGTGCTTTACCAAAATTGTGAATTTTTGACCCTGGGGTCTCACGTTTCCCCCTGGGGAGGGGGTAAACTTTACTATAGTTTATATAGGGAAATCACATTTTGGACCAACATTTGTTTAATTGCCATTGAAGGTAATTCAATTTAGGTTAGCATTATCAGTATTGGGTAGCAGTTTGATGGTATGCACATATGAGCCCTGACTAACCCCCCGGGGCTATTGTGTGGGGCCAAAAAGGGTTGAATTGACTGAAATTTCAAAAATCTTCTTCTCAAGACTCAGATATGGTAGAATCAAACACCCTTCATAGATGGAAGGGTCTTAAGGCGCTCTACCAAAATTGTGAATTTCATGACCCTTGGGTATCATGTTACCCCGGGGGCTTTTGGGTGGGGCCAAAAAGGGTAGAATTGACTGAAATTGCAAAAATCTTCTTCTCAAGACCCAGATATGGTAGAATCAAACACTCTTCATAGATGGAAGGGTCTTAAGGTGCTCTACCAAAATTGTGAATTTCATGACCCTTGGGTATCATGTTACCCCGGGGGTAAACTTTACTATAGTTTATATAGGGAAATCACATTTTGGACTAACATTTGTTTAATTTCCATTGGAAGTAATTAAATTTACGTTAGCATTATCAGTATTGGGTATCAGTTTGATGGTATGCACATATATATGAGCCCTGACTGAACCCCCGGGGCTGATGGGAGGGGCCGAAAAGGGTCGAACTGACTGGAATTTCAAAAATCTTCTCCTCAAGACCCAGATATCGTAAAATCAAACACTTTTCATAGATGGAAGGGTCTCAAGGTGCTTTACCAAAATTGTGAATTTCATGATCCTGGGGTATCATGTTACCCCGGGGGTAAACTTTACTATAGTTTATATAGGGAAATCACATTTTGGACCAACATTTGTTTAATTTCCATTGGAAGGAATTCAATTTGGGTTATCATTATCAATATTGGTAAGCAGTTTGACGGTATGTACATATCAGCCCTGACTGACCCCCCCGGCTGATGGGAGGGGCCAAAAAGGGTCGAATTGACTGAAATTTCAAAAATCCTCTTCTCAAGACCCAGATATGGTAGAATCAAACATTCTTCGTAGATCGAAGGGTCCTAAGGTGCTCTACCAAAATTGTGAATTTTATGACCCTTGGGTATCACGTTTACACCTGGGGAGGGTTGAATTGACTGAAATTTCAAAAAAAAATCTTCTCAAGGACCCAGATATGGTAGAATCAAACACTCTTCATAGATGGAAGGGTCTTAAGGTTTATGACCCTAGGGTCTCACGTTTACCCCCTGGGGAAGAAGAGGGGGGGGGGCAAAATTTATTATGGTTTATAATGGCAAATGATACTTTTGAGCCAGCATTACCCCCAAGGGCTGTAGGGTGGGGCCCAAAGGAGTCAGTGTGCTAAAATTTCTTCATTTTCCTTGTTAAGAATCAGAGGTGCTAGTTTCAAATACTTTTTAGTCTTAAATCTGTATGCTAGATATTGAATAAGGTGGTTTTATTGTTTTTTGTTACTGAATAATATTTCTGTTTTATTACATGTAGGGTATTGTGAAGCACACACCAAAATGGAACCAAATTGAAATAATAGTCAAAAATAAGAAAATTATGAATTTTCATGTAAAGCCAGATGTTGATATACAGTGAACAAGGTGTTATTGAATATATTCTCGCACGAAAAGTTCCAATGCAACATAAGAGTCAATGAAAACTAAAAGATATTTTTCGTGAATTAGTGGGTTTTTTAAAATTTCAAAAGTGGCCTTATCTTCCATTGTGCAAAAGTTCATTTAAAAAACATAAAAAGCTGATAAAATATTTATTTATTTAATGAAATTAAAGAAAAAATTAGTGATCTTACTCCTCGTCATACATCTGTCCATGGGGCCCCCAGCTGTTGTAGTTGTCAAGGAATGGTAGAGTTAGATAGGAGCGGTCATAATGGAGGAAGAAGTAACACCAACAGGTATGGATACCAGGAGGATCAAGTTTCCTGCCATCGTGGTCTTCTGTAAGCTGAACTATTATTTGGCTACGTTTATAAAAGTCAGGATGTCCTTCAAACAGATCCAAAAAACCAAGCATCTCCTGGTCCACTTCAAATACTTCACCATGAATTTTCTGAAATATTAATGAATTTTATTGTTCAGTTTATTTGGGTTGAAATACACAATTTTTTTTAAAAAAAAAAACACAAACCTGTTCAAGAGACAACCTCTATTAAGGAACCACCTGTGTAAAGAGACCACTTTTATAGAAACTGTACCTATACCTTGTGAGTTTCCTGGATGTGGTCTTTATATGCGGGTTTGGCAGCATGTATACAGATTACAGGAGATCATTTTAAGCCCACCATCATCTGATGGTGGCGCGGGCTATTCAAATCACCCTGGGTCCGTGGTCCGTGGTCCGTCCATAAACAATTCTTGTTGATATTGAAAGTTTGTTTTCAGTATTTCCCAAGAAGTACCAGAGGAATCTTTCTCAAATTTTATATGTAGGTTCCCCTTGGTCCTTAGCTGTGCAGGGCAACTTTTGAGACTGATCGGATAAACAACATGGCCGACAGGCAGCCATCTTGTATCTTGATAGTGAAAGTTTGTTATCAGTATTTCTCAAGAAGTACCATAGGGATCTTTCTTAAATTTTATATGTAGGTTCCCTCTGGTCTTAGCTGTGCAGGCCACCTTTTGAGACTGATCGGATAAACTACATGGCCGACAGGCAGGCATCTTGTATCTTGATAGTGAAAGTTTGTTATCAGTATTTCTCAAGAAGTACCATAGGGATCTTTCTTAAATTTTATATGTAGGTTCCCCTTGGCCCTAGCTGTGCAGAGTTATTTTAGAGACTGATCGGATAAACAACATGGCCAACAGGCAGCCATCTTGGATTTTGATAGTGAAAGTTTGTTATCGCTATTTCTCGGGAAGTACGGGAGGGATCTTTCTCAAATTTTAAATGTAGGTTCCCCTTGATCCCTCGTTGAGCATGCTATGTTTTGAGACTAATCATAAAAACAAAATGGATTAAAAGAAGAACTAAACAGATCTTTCTCATATTGCAATGATCGATTCTATTTCTTTCACATTAAGTACTGTACTAGTAAATATGTGAAATGACAAACTCACTTTGAAGGTTGGCTTTCATACACATCAGTATTAAGTTTAGATCAAAAGTTACCTCAAGGTGCATTTACCGTTAACATGACTCAATCAAACAGATTAGAGGAAAGAAGAGAAAAGATTAAACTGACAAAGAACTAATGAAGATGGTACAAAGGTGGGCGCCAAGATCCCTGTGGGATCTCTTGTTATGTAATAAACACTAGTTTATTCACAGGAATTGTTGAATTAGGAAGGATACAGCTGGTCTTTACAGGCAGGTGGTGTTTAACGATGGGTTTTAATCATAACACATGGTCTTTTATAAAATTGGCTTAAACCGGTTGAGTTGTTTGGAGACACTATCAAAATGAATGAGACGACAAGAAATAAAATAAAGGTCTGAAGCACAGGGTTTTTGATTTCTATACATTTTCCTGTTACTGACATGTATTCAGCAGGGAGTGCATATAGGTAAGTAGGACAAACTAAAGAGAAACCCCTGTGTTCCAAATGGAGTGTTGCAGCTAGCAGATTTATTTTAATTTCTATGATGTCCCCAATAAGACCACAGGAAGTTTTTATAGATATTTGTTAAATAACCCCAGATAAAAAGTATTCCAGGATCACTAGTGAGGTGATTGAGAGCTTATTTTGTTCACAATTAAAATGTTTTTTTTTTATGATATTTGGCTAAGAATAATAAGTACTTGATAGAATTTGTTTTTCCTGTGTTGTAAGAGGGCATCCACAATCATTGGCTCCTTTTTTTAAAAAAACCCATCCCAATATCATGACATAAACAACTGTAAAAAGTCCTTTTGCCAATAAACAAATAATTCAGTAAAGGCCATCTTGCTGTTTTACTCTATAAACCAGTGTTTTCATTTCATAGCACAGGGACCTGGGAACAAATGACATGATGTATAAATACTGTCCTAACATACATTCTGGACTTTGTTCTCATGCCAAGAGACCTGTATCGGTTACTTCTTACTTTGCCGGTTCCTTCAACAGACAGCATACAGGGTAAATTCCACTTCGCAGCCGATATCACTAGAGGATACGCCTTTCCTGTGAGACCCCTCCCCATGTAGGTAACTTCACCATCAAATATACCCTCCATCATTTTGTTGTTAGGCTGACCTCTTTTGAGAGTCCCATACACAAACACCTTGAACATACTGTTTGACATTCTTCTTGATTTTTAAGCTTCAAATTATTAAATTGACAGATTTCTCATTTCAAAGTACCATCCAACAGGTCAAGGATTGTAGAGACATTCTTACACACTAGAAACGTTTTTATATCATTCAACTGTGCAATATATTCCATCACATCTTCAACGCAGAAAAGTGCAAAAGTCTATTCCATAGTTAACCCATGTGTAGCTGCTTGACGACCAAAGGAGAGAAGGGACGTAATTCAAGTATTCAACTTTCAGATTACCTATATTTTGCACTGTGCACCACATTATTGTGTTGGGATTATATAGTTATAATGCTAAAGATCGAGTTAAGATCAGTACATAATCTATCATAATCTCACACCGTCTGGTGACAAATCAATCGACTAGGTTAATACGATATTTCAGATTTGAGCGGGTTAAACTTTAAATAGAAATCATCCATAGGGACCTGAGAATTCAGATCACAATGCATTTTGATGTGTATTTAGTATCGTAAGATATTTGGGATTTAAATTTATATATTATCTGTTTTTTCTTACCCAGGTAACAATCTGTGGGGTGGCATTTTGGTAACCCTTTCACCACTGTAGACCATAATGAACTCATCCATATCAATGCATGGTAGAGTCTACTAAAGTTACATAGGGGTGAAAGGGTTAAGTGTCGATTTAAACCCCTTAAACATCTGAACAATACACTATATATGCAAAGCAGAAATACTATACTCTTTGTTAGAAATCACAGGTCCCTGTGAAATGGTCTAGTACCATAGGCCTATATATATATATCTATAAATTTAACTTGTGAGGTCAATATGAACAGCACTATACTATATTAACCAGCACGGACTACCATTTGGTCAAAATATAATCTTTTAATCTGTTAACACCTTAATTATCCTTCGCATAAGTTTCAGTTGGATAAGCTCTCAGGCACTTGTTTTCTTGACAGTAAAATATGAATCTGTAAGCAGAAAAATCTCGATCTGCATTCAAGAATAATAAATTTACATGTATACATCTTCTTAACGAGGTCAAAAAAGCATATTCTTTATAAAATCCACCTGTTTAAAAGATCAGATTCATATGCTAGTATGGTGATAACAATAAGTTTAATAGATAGATTCATATGCCTGTGTCAGTTTTGATAAGATTAAATTCTCCAGTCCCTGTGAATGTAGTGGCTTAGATTAAAGACACGATATTTCGAAATTGTGTCACTGGGTCAAAACACTGAGAATTTAGTCATGGCGAAAAAAAAACAATTCTCAAAAAATTCCAAATACACAATTTGTCATATGCAGATTTGATCGGCCCCGCCCAGGATGGTGGTGTCTTTGTGGCTTAAAAACCATAAAACCATCTCCTCGCAGCAAAAATATTTACCTACCCTAGAGAGGCTACTAAGTGTAAGCAAGACAGTCTTCAAATAACAGGTTGTAGTTGGAACTAAGAGATTAAGGGACCATGTATACAGGTTTTATTATGACCTTATATATACCGGTAACCCTTTCAGCACTGTAGACAATAATGGACTCATCCAGATCAATGCATGATAAAATTTACTAAAGTTACACAGGAGGATACAGTTAACATGACATGCCAAATCCATAATGCCTTCATTTCGGCAAGTTTGTTCTACTCATCTCAAATTGTAGCATAAACAAGAGGCCCACAGGGCCTGTATCGCTCACCTGAACATTTTAGCAAGATTGAAGATGAAATAGCCAGATGTTATTGTACATGTATTTCATGGTTAGTCAGGGGTTATATTTATATGCAATCGGACAAAATCCTGTCATTCCTACAGGAAAAGGAGGATTTTGAAGAATTTGCTGTGTTTCCACTATTAGGCCCCGCCCCTCTGCCCCCAGGGGGTTAAATCCCAAAGTTTATACAAAATTGGTTCCCCTTCACCCAAGGGTGCTTCTTCCCAAATTTTGACAAAATCCTGTCATTCCTACAAGTGTTTTGAAGAATTTGCTATGTTTCCCTTATTTAGCCCCACCCCTCTGCCCCAGAGGGTCAGACCCAACATTTATACAAAATATAGTCCCCTTCAACAAAGGATGCTTTAGACCAAATATGGAAAAAATCCTGTCATTTCTACATAAGATTTTTTTAGAAATTTGCTGAATTACCCCTTTTGGGCCCCACTTCTCAGGACCCAGGGGGGTCAGACTCACCAATGATACAAAATTGATTTCCCTTCCCTATAGGATGCTACTGTTCAAATTTGGTCAAAATACCTTCCTCCAAATGGAAGAAAAAGGATATTAAAGCTATTCCTCTATATCCCTAATGGGGGTCAGGCCAACCGTTAGTACACTATTGGTTCCCCTTTACCAAAGGGTGTTTCATACCAAATTTGGACAAATCCTGTCATTCCTACAGAAGCTTTAACCAAAGTTGACATTTGACCCATGACTAGCATTTAAAGTTGACCTTTGACCTCATTACTGTAATTGAAAAACATATTCGCACTACTCAGGTCTACATAACATACCCAAGTATCATGACTCTAATTCAGATGGTTCTTAGGATATTGTAGTTTGAAATTTTTAACATATTTGACCCCGGTGACCTTGAAAGTATGTCAATGTAATTTTAATGACAAAACTTTATAGCACTCCATCCCAAGTACCTACTGGCCAAATATCATGACACTGGGCTTTATGGAACTTAAGAAGATTGTTAAAGCTTTAACCAAAGTTGACATTTGACCCTGACTAGCATTTAAAGTTCACCTTTGACCTCATTACTCTAATTGAAAAAAATATTCGCACTGCTGGTCTACATAACATACTCAAGTATCATGACTAGTCCAAATGGTTCTTAGGATATTGTAGTTTAAATTTTTGACATATTTGACCCCTGTGACCTTGAAATTAGGTCAGGGTCATTTTAATGACAAAACTTTATAGCACTCCATCCCAGGTACCTACTGGCCAAATATCATAACCCTAGGTCCTACAGTTCTTCAGGAGAAGTCGCTCAAAAGAAAAAGTTGACGGATGGATGACAGACGCCGCAGTAGCTCACATTGCCCTTCGGGCCTGGTGAGCTAATGAACCAAACATACCCAAAAGTATCATGTTCCTATATAAAGTATAGTAAACTTTGACCCATTCCCCAGGGGCAAACATTGAGCCTGGGGGTCATGGAATTCACAATTTTGATAAAGCACCTCAAGACCCTTCCATTTATGGCGAGTATTGGTTTCCAGCCTATCTCAGTCTGGAGAAGATGACTGTTGTCATTTCTGGCTATATGACCCCATTTGGGCTCAGCCCCTCAGCCTCTGGGGACGAGACAGGGTTAAATGATGTCTAAGTATCAAACTGTAATCTCATGGTTATAGTGTAAATCAAGTTTGAAGATTTCCAGTAGAAAATGAACAAAAATATACCCAAAAGTTGGATTTTCCTACATAAACTATAGTAAAATTTCATTGAAATTGGTTCAGGGGTTTTGGAGAAGAAATTGAAAATGTAAATTATTTACGGATGCACAACAACAGACACAAGCCGATCGCAATAGGTCACCTGAAAAATCTCAGGTGATCTAGGTCCTAATAAAAGATAATTGACCCCTATGACCTTGAATATAGCTCAAGTTTTATCATTTAAAGTAAACACACAAAGTGGCCCTTCATCCCAGCATGCTACAGGCCAAATTTCATCATCCTGGGCCATTTGGTTATTCAGAAGTCCATATATATATACCATAGCTTTCCGGTGCAAAATAGTGAGACCAGTGATTATTTTTAGAGAGATTTGATTAAAAATAGCGAGATTTTTTCTCTGAATTTTAGTGAGAAATTTGTGAGACATTTAAAACATTAATTATATAGCATATAACATAGTATTAAATCATTTGTGTTATATTGAAGCCTCTAATTACTTTGTTATAGCCAAAATTGAAGGTTTACACGGGAAATACGGTCCAGATAAAGCTTTTTAACATTTAAAAGTAAATATATGACACAAAAGGCAAAAAATAAGAGTAATTCAAAAAAGAAGAAATTCTAGAGGTATGTCCTTGTTAACCCGGGTTAGAAAATAAAATATGTCTCAAAACATTGGGAATATTTAAAGGGGCTGGTCGGGGAAAAAATTACAAAATAAATGGGTCTAAATGCGTTCTCTGGCCTTCCAAAAGTTATACCACAGCAATATGATGGTTGAGTTCTGCTTGCAATGTCCAGTTTTGACCACTGAAATCTCGGGGAAGTCCCGTGTAAATTTAGCACATATCTATTTATATATGTCACGTGGTTGTTTCGAAAGTGAAGCAGTGAAGATAACAACAATAGCACGCCGTCATGTGCCATGTCGGACTCAACTAGCGAACAAGACAGCAATACCATACGTAAATAATTGTTTTCAAAGGTCATGTATGATGCAAGTGTAGTATTCCTACCTATATGTTGTTGTTATATATAACGGTATTAATACCTCGTGCCTGTATCACGTTTTAATTTGTGATTAATGCTATGCAGAGGCTCAATGAAAATGACCGCCTCTGGATTATAGGTATGCTTCAAGCTGGTATGGGCCAAGCCGTTGACTCTACACGTTTTCATGTCCATCGAAACACAATCCGGGATTTGTGGAGACGACATCAACAGTTTGGCCACGTCGGAGATCGACCTCGTGCGGGACGTCCACATGTGACGTCACGTCAACAGGACAATCATATTTGGCTTGTCCATTTGAGAAATCGCTTCCAAATGGCAAATTTGACTGCACGGACAATCCCTGGGTTGCTACCAATAAGCCCCAGAACTGTACAGAACCGATTGCGTGAACGAGCTATCCGTCCGCGACGTCCTGCAATCCACCCAGTTCTCCTGCCATGTCATTGTGTAGCACGTCTGGACTGGTGCAGAAGGCATCTGCGATTTACTCGACGGGATTGGGCAGGCATTTTGTTTACGGACAAGTCACGAGTCCACCTGGATAGTCGTGACAGCTGTTCCAGAGTGTATCGTCGCGTTGTAGAACGTTTCCATGACATGTGTGTGGTACAAAGATGCTCTTTCGGTGGAGGCAGCGTTATGATTTAGGGCGGCATCACAGCCAATGGGAGAACGCCTCTGGTAGTTGTTAACAGGAATTTGAAAGCGCTACGCTACCGTGACGTGATCCTCTGGACCCACGGCGTTCCATTCGTGCAAGGGCAGCAACGTCACATTACGCTACAGCAGGACAACGCCAGGCCACACGCAGCTCGTGTCGCTAT